CTATACATACACAAGCAAGACCTAATGCTCATTACCGAAAAGCTGCGCATAAACTCCATTATCAAACTCACACTTTTGGCCTAAAAATTTCAAAACTGAAAACAGGGATAGAAGGCGATTCAAGGCCAAATAACCATCTCATCACCTTCCTGAGACCTCAAGCAACGCGTCTGGATAGGTTTCCACATTCCTAACACCAAGAATTGGTGAATAGAACTCAGGCTTTGTCACTCTTTTGCATAAATCGTATCTTGTCATTCATAGCATAATTTCAAATTCTAATGCATGTTTTGTGTTGCTCTCATGATTCTGAAGCTTACTCTATGTTTTAATTGAATTTTTATACACTGTATGCAAAGACGCCATTGGCATATTTTAGGGTTTCAGACTTGGAGAATTGGGGCTTTACATTCAAAGAAAAATTGAGACTCGAGACCTGGACCATTAGAATCAGCGTGTTTGGACGATCAAGACCCAACCCTCGCGCCTAATTTATGAAGTCCCAGGAGCTAATCGCTATTTTCCAAAAGGGCACATTTTAGAACGTTTATAAAACCGTTGCCAATGTTTTGTGTTTCAGAAAGAAAAAAATAAGGCAACAAAGAAGACGACCCTGTGGCGATCAGTGATTGGCTTATTTGAATTTTACGCGCTAAAATTCCACTAACATTTGTTTTATTATATATTGTTTGTTAGTTACGTAAGGTACAAAGAAGCAAAGCAGCTCCACTGGCAGGCATAAGCGTTGGTAACGTTCAGGACCTGGGTTCGAGCCCCAGGTCCCCCATCCCTTTCATATCATTTTTCATATAATGTTCATATGCAATTTCAGCGCTGAGGTGCATCGTACATCATCAAAATCAAGCCATCCACTTGGCCAATGGAACGATCAGAGGGCCCAGATCTGGAGAGCATGGTACACGTGGGTCAATGCTTGGGTACGCTAGTGGAAAAGTCAGCCAGGCCTAAGGCTTATTGGGCTCAAATTGCTAAAGACCAACCTCCACTTTGGGGACAGAAACCCCCCTAGGTTTGCAATCTTCAATATTTTTTTTATTATTCTTTTTATTTTTTATTATTCTTTTCAATTAATTCCTTTGACTTAATTTTTCATAAAAAAATATAAAAAAACAATAAAAAATCAGAAAAGATAAAAAATAATAAATATTTTTATTTTAGTATTTTTGTAAATAAATTGCATTAATTAATTTTAGTTATTAAATTAGGTTTAATTGTAATATTTTCCTTAATAAAAATCTAAAATCGGTAGAATTAGGGTTTATAATCATTTTTATCCCTTTTTCTTTTCTTTCATAATAATTAAATATTTCCTATTATTTATTTTTATAATTAAATGGCATGTAAATAATTAGGTTAAATATTAGGTTAAAATTTAATCTTTTCTTAATAAACTAAAAACAACTAGAATTAGGGTTAGCATTTTGTTTTAATTAATTATTTTTCATTAAAATCATAAAATACAAAAATACCAAAAAGACAATTTCTTTTCATTATTAGTTTCATTAATTTAATAATTTAATTTAGTTTCATAAAAAAGGGGTCCAACGCCCTCGTTTCAATTTTAATTCAAATCGCGTGTTCATTTCTTTTTCGTATAATTGTTATGTACCTCTCCCAAAGCCGTGTAATTAATTTCTCGCACTTTATTTTTCTTTAATTCTTTACTTTTCTGTCAAATCGGGTTCTGGAAATTTTGGCGATGTGGACCCGCGCCTTTTGTAATAGCTTTAGAACTTTTACTTCTCGCAACTTTTTAACTGTTAATCAAGGCATGCAAGAATGAATGGACAAAATAAAAAACGCATAGATCACCCATAACCTGACAAGACAAAAATAAATGAATCTGACACACAAATCACACACCACCCCTAGGGTACGCCTCACTGTTGCCTTGCCTCGAAAGGTGATCGTCGAGTAGAGGATGTCTTAGTAAGTCCTCATGATCCGGGAACCTGGCATGAGGGTAGCTTCTAAGGTGTCTTCCTATTGCTCTGGTGATCACCATGTCCCTACAAACTCGAATTGACCCGAACACCTCCAATGGTGGTGCTACCTACCTCTCAATGGTGGGATGGCACTACTTTAAAGGACATTTACACAGACGAATTCCTTAGGGTAGGTAGACGACTCTAGATACTTGCTCTAAATTTCAAAACAAAATCAAAAATACTTTTCACACCGACACCTTTTCAAAAAGCTTTCGAAAGCAATTTTTCAAACACTCTTGAGGACCGATACAAGAGTCGAACTGGAATTTTCAAAGAAACTTTTTTTACCCACAGTTGAAAAGCAAACAAACCATTTTGAAAACACAAGTGAGCAAGTATCTAAGAGCCCATGGATAACCATGGATAGAAAGGGTGCTAACACCTTCCCTTTCTATAACCTACCTCCCGAACCGAGAGCAATCTCTATAAGGAATTTTTCTGTGCTTTTATCCTTTCCCTTTGGAGAAAATAAAAGACGGTGGCGACTCTTGCTTCCGCGACATTTCACGAACCAGCGTTAAACAGTCAGCTCCAGATCCACCGATCACAATAACAATGCTGAGTTTATGTTGTGATACTTTTGGTTTATTCTTCTATGTGTATTACTTATATCTTATATAATGATTGTGAGGAACTTACCCTTTCTGCTTGAATGTTGCCTCTACGTGGGTAACATGCATGTAATCAGGAATAGTCCCTAGAGGCTTAAAAGAATATCTTGGAGCATGTGTTTTATTTTCGCTGAGTCTAGAAGGTCTTGCTCTGATATGTAACATCGGGGACGAGAATGCTTTGTTTTGAAAACTATTTTGTTCTTGTTTTGTTATGACATTTAAATTGTTTCCAAGGAGTTTAAATTATGTTGAATTGGGAACCATGAATCATGGGGCACTATGAAGTGTTTTAATGAACTTGTTTGAAATATGATTCCGCTGCAAGTATGTGAAACCTTGATAATGGATATGTACACGAATAATTTTGAAAACCCGTGTTACGGAGTAAGACTAGCACGTATGATTATTTCACGAATAAAATGTGTCGCCCTTTTGTTGTATTACTCTGATATTATTTTAAATAATTATGAATATTCAGTGGGGTTTAGAAGGGTGTTACAATTACTAACTAAGTTTGATAATGTGTCGATAAGTCATGTCTGTCGCATAGAAAACCAAGAGGCTAATGAATTAGCCCAAGTAGCCTCAAGGTATACAATTGCAAGAGAAAACTTAGGAGAATTAATAGAAATAAAAGACAAATTGGTGTCTAAAAATATCCCGCCAAGAGAAGCATCAACCTAAAAAACTAGGGGCAAAAGTAGAAGTAACCTCAGATTTATTAAATTTTGATTACTTCGGAAGTTTTGAAACTTTGGAAGTTCTTGCCATTGATGTTTTAGCAGACGACGATTGGTGAAAACCCATAGTCGACTATATGAATACCCCAACATGATTGACGGATCACAAGGTGAAATACAGGCTTTAAGTTACAGATTCATGGGGAACGAATTGTTTAAGAAAACCCTTGAAGGAATGTTGTTGAAGTCTTTGGGAGAAATAAGGCATATGTGGCAGTATTAGAGGCGCACAACGGTTCGTGCGACGTCCATCAAGCATGCCAAAAAATGAGATGGTTACTCTGTCGAACATGAGTATATTGGCCAACTATGTTAAAAGATTACATAGAGTTGGCCAAGGGGTTCCAAGAGTTCTAGAAACACTCAGGAATTCAACATGTGCTCGCAAGCGAATTACATTATATTGTGAAACATTGGCCTTTCAGAGGATGGGCTTTGGATATCATAGGGGAAATTAATCTTACTCCGTCAAAAGGACAAATATATATCTTGGTGGGGATATATTATTTCACCAAGTGGGTATAAGTGGTGCTATTAACCAGCGTCGACCAAGAGAAAGTGATGAGTTTCATACAAAACCATATCATGCACTGATTTAGGGTACCCAAAACTATCACGACCGACCAAGGGATTGTGTTCACCTGGCGAAAGATGGTGGAGTTCACTTCAGACACATGCTTCAAGCTGTTGACATCGACACCATATTATGCTCAAGCTAATGGTTAGGTCAAAGCGGCTAACATAATTATAATTAGTTTGATTAAGAAACATATTGGGCAAAAACCCAGAAATTGGCACAAAACTTTGAGACAAGTCTTATGGGCGTATCGAAACTCACCCAAGGAATCCACAAATATAAAACCATTCAGATTAGTGTATGGACAAAATGCAGTATTACCATGTGAGATACACATGCAGTTAGTAAGAATCTAGAGGCAAGCATAAATCCCAATAAAGTTTTACTAGGGAATGATGTTTGACACATTGATTGATATCAACGAAGAGAGATTGGCCGCATTAGATGTTCTACTTGGGAAAAAGGAACAAGTAGCTAAAGTGTATAATGAAAAAGTAAAATACAAGTAATTAGTTTTGGGAGACTTTGTTTGGAAAGTCATATTGCCAATGGATAAAAGGGATAGAGTTTTTGGGAAATGGTCCCCTAATTGGGAAGGACCATTCTGTGTGTCACAAGTCTTTATGAGCAACGCTTATGAAATTGAGAAACTCACACCTAAAGGAAGAGTCTTGCAGATTAACAGGAAATATTTGAAAAAATATAAACCCATGCTGCATGAAATTACCATTGGTAAAAAGTAAAAATCATAAGTAAAAGAAATAAAAAGGCCAACAACAGGGCCTGAACAGTACGTCAAGAAAATAACTTGTTTATGCATAATAACCATAAATTAAAAAAGAACTTACGTCTTCATCACTAAATAATGTTCCCTAGTTGTGGCAAGGCGTCAATAAACTAAGAGAATAACTGAGTCGAATCCATCCAACTCGACATCCAAATCTCCTACTTGGTCAAAGTGTTGAATTCTGATCTTGGTTTCTACATCAAGGGCTTGTTGAGTAGTGCTGTCCGTGCGAGTTTGTAGTGACTCGACTTCCTACACTTTGGCTTGCAATTCTTAAATCTGTTTCTTCCATTTGGATATGTCGACAACTCTGTCTTTAAATTCAGACTTCTCATGATTAAGCGTTTTCTGCAAAGCCTCCAGTCTGGCTAAAGACGATGTCACTAAAACCAATTCTTGAGCTTGAGTTTGTTCTATGAGTAACTTCTTTGTTTGGGCATCATTCTTGCGAGCAAGGTCGACCAAGAGTTGATCCGAGAAGGCATAAAACTCCATCACAAAGCTAACAAATACCAAAGATGCAGTTAACAGGTCGACTTGTTTGAGTAAGTCTTGATGTCGTGACTAGCCATAACATTGGTTTCTAATAGCACGAAGAAGTTACCATCAAACAACAGGGTCTTAAGACGACAAAGTATCTCTTTCTGAGTTTCAGTTGGAGAAACGTTGCTCGAAACCATGGATGAGCTAAAACATATTGTCATACTCCAAATTTTCCTAATAGGTGTAAATAGTAAATTTCATTTTTTGCTAAGACTATTGGTTTATTTTTATGCTAATTTTTATATTTTTATACTGACATTTAAAATATAATTTTAAATTATTTAAATATAATAAAGTTTAATTTTGGGGAGGGGTGTTTATTTATCATTTTTCAAATAGGGCATTATTCTAATTAAATCAAATGGTCCATTAGAATCTTAGGCCCATATCAAGTTCAATTAGGTTAATTTGTTTTTTAATTTTATAAGTCATTTTTATTAAGTTGACCGAAGTCAACAAACCTTTAGTCATTGTTGTTTTTTAACATTTTCATAATTATTTGGGTTAGTAAAAATATTTATTTATCTTGGTTGACTAGAGTCAACACGCAGGTAAAATATATTTTATTATTATTATTACATTATAAATTTGTTAAATTTTATTATTTATTTTGTTATTCGAGTTTTTTGTTTTGTTGATTAAGTCAACAAAGGCGGGAAACCTTAACTGCATAGTTGCGCCTAAGGTTTGGACTCTTCAACCCTAAGCATATCAAAGCCCAGAAATCCATAAGCTGAAATCCAATCGAATCTTTGATTGAAAATCAATTTTATTGATTAAACGAATTTATAATACAAAATGTCTATATTCATTACAAGATTCAAAACCCTAAACCTATTACAATCAAATCAAATCCTAATTCTAATTGTAACAAAAAATCAATCCTAAAAAATTTCCTAATCAGACTATTTCTAAGCCTATATAAACCTAAGATCCAAACAGAGAAGCGAGAATAATTTTGGAGAAGAAACATTGCATTCGACTAATGCTACTGCATATCCCCATCCTCACCAAAAACTCAAACCTTCTGAGTAACTTAGGGTTTCACATCGAAACCCCACACATTCAAGCTAAGCGTTCATCACTATACCTGTAAACACACACACACACACACACACACACACAGAGAGAGAGAGAGAGAGAGAGAGAGAGAGAGAGAGAGAGAGAGAGAGAGAGAGAGAGAGAGAGAGAGAGAGAGAGAGAGAGAGAGAGAGAGAGAGAGATAGATAGATAGATAGATAGATAGATAGATAGAGAAATTAGAAGGAGGTTGGAGAAATAATCAGGAAATAAGAAGATATTATACAACTAGATTCACGGTAAGTAGAAGTAAACACAAAAACACTTAGCTTAGGGTATAATTGTTGTGGTGATTGCTGTGATTGGGGTTAATTGTTGTTATTTTATGGAAACTTGGGAATTTAGGGCTAGTTTAGGGTTATGGTTCTTGGGTACTAGGGTTAGGGTTCATCCGTGTATGGTTAGGGTTCTTACGCTACATGGTTAAGGTTCATCCTTCAAAGGGTTAGGGTTCACTCATATAGTTGTTTATGGGCTAGGGTTCATGGGGTTAGGGTATAAGTTGTTAGGGTTCTTAGGGTTATGTTTAATCTTCATAGGATTCATGGGGTTTGTGGGGTTCTGGGTAAAATATGAATGAATGTTTAAATTTTCTGCTTGATATTCAACTGGAAAACTAGGCTCAACGGTGGTGTTTGGATTGGTATAGGGAGGCGGGATCGGAGGCAGCAATTTCCAGTGGTTATTTTCTAGAGAGAAGCTAGAGCTTCTCACTCTAGATTTTGGAGGAGAGAGCCAAGTTGTTGGGTAGAGAGACATAGAGAGAGATAGAGAGAGAGAGAGAGAGAGAAAGAAATAAGAAAAATGAAACAAGTGCAAGTAATTTCGCTTTTATATTCCCTCTGTCCCTCAGTTATGCATGCCATGTGGTCTCCAGAAGGCAATGGGATCTGGTGACCTTTGACCGGTCACCATGTGCTCACTTCCACACTACGCCTCAATCAACACGCAATCCCTACTGTTCGTTTGTCATAATTTTAATCAACGCCCCAAGATTAACTCCTGAGGGCCCTTTGATTGAAATCAAGCATTTTAGATCTCGATATACACTATAAATCCATGCGCTTTCCCTTACACTATCCAGACGGGCTTCAAAAGTTGTCTTGGGGCAATCCCACTGTTATTCATACCCCCCAACTTACTACGCTCAACTATAATTCATACCCCTCATGCAATTGGATTGAAAACTTTGACCTGGGCTTAACCCAATGTTATTTAGCACACCTTTATAGTTTATTAATTAATTTTTTAAATTAATTTATTTGTTTATATTGATTATTTTCTCTTTCCACATCATTTTTTATTTATTTGCATTAAAATATATTGTATTATTATTATAAATATTTAATTTATTTTTGATCGATAAATATTATAATTATAATATTATTAACTATTTTTAAAATTACTAACCATTTTTATTTAATTCATTAAACATTTCTTACTAACTTCCATATCATTCAAATATTTTCAAAATTACATCATGCATCTTAATATAGCTAACCAACCTAAAATTATTTTTTCTACTAACTTAAAAAAAATCAATATTATTTTCAAAAAGAGGATTGTAGATTTACTTTCAAATTAAACTTCAAACTACGTCTACGACTATGCAACTTTCAAACCCGGACGGATTTCAAAGAATCTTTCTAAAGCATTTACACAATCTATAAAAAAACTAACCAAAAACATACAAACTACGAAATGGATTCTGATTTTTTCGCAAGAGGATATGTAGGCATGCGGTTAAAACCAAGGCGAGTCCCATAATTAAAAAATTAAATATTTTCTTATACATATGGAAATAATAATGCTTAAATAGAAATTAATGATCTACCCTAAAACCTAAATGGTATGCCCCTTGAGAACAAGGGAGATGAAGGATGCCTAACACCTTCCCTTCGTCTAACCAACTCGCGAATCTAAAATCTCTAAACCAAATTAGGGTTATCTGTTCTTTCCCGTCCTTAAGACAAAAAGTAGTGGTGGCGACTCTCGTATTTTTTTGCCAGTTACAACAACTTGCGACTCTGCTGGGGACACGAACCTAGGTTTTGAGTTTACCCCTTCTTGTAGGTCTAGGGTTTTTGAGTTTTTTATTTATAGCATGTTATTTGTTTATTTATTTATTTGTTTATTTGTTTACTTATTTTTATTTTATTTATTATCATATTATTTATACTGTTGGTGGGATTTTGTTATAACAAAAAATAATAAACCTTAGAAGAAGGATTGTCAATTGGCCAAGTGGGTTTAACATCCCTATGAGTTTTTGCAACGACTTCTCCTAGAGTAGGTCGAATTCCGAGAAATATCTTTTAGAGGGCTAGACTCTCTTGGAGGAAGGACTTTGGAATTTGACCAATGACTCTTTATATAACCCAAAATAAAATCTCACGATGATACCTTGTATGACCTACGATATGAAAGTCTCGGTCTACAAAGAGGATCCACTTAAGGGAGCCCATTGTGCGTTTTTCCTATAGTGTTATTCATGATACCCTTAAGGATGCCACATTTTTGGGGAAGGTAGAATATCCTTAGGACGAAACTAGGAACCTACATACCAAAGATACCCTTATAAATCCACCACCAAATTGTATCACCATGCATGACATACATTTTGCATTAAAATTATTCAATATTTTTGCATTTTTTTTGTGTCTTATTCACAGGATTTCCCTGAAAAAAATATAATACAAAAAAGAAGCAAGGTTTTTGTTGAGCATCTTAAAATGAATACTAATAAGAAACCGACCATCCGCATCAGTGTTACAATGCCAGATATGAAGAAGATCAAGCTAATTAGAGGAAAACTTCCAGGAAAATCTATGAAGGGCGTTGTTCGTCACTATGGGGATATTATTGATCTCACAAAAGTAATTGTACAAGTGAAAGCTATTACTGATCTTAGTCAATTCTATGGCCCTCCGCCAAGGTGTTTCACTTTTCAAAATTTTCAATTGGCACCTAATTTGGAGGAATTCAATAGTATTTTGGGATTCTCCAAAATCAAGGATGAAGCTTATATAGGAATTGGGAATACCATCAAAGTCCGAGACTTGGCTAAAGAACTAGGGATACCTTTCACTGACTTAGTGCTTAACTACAAGAAACATGGTGAAGTGAAAAGGTATCAAAAGACAATACTTAGAATCTAAGGCTCTTTCTTTTGCTAATAAGAAAGAATGAGAGGCTTGTGGAGATTGTTTGACACTTCTTATATTTGGCTTAACTATGTTTCCAAATAATGTGGACTATATATATTCTGCAACCATTAATAAGTTTTGGGGCTGTGAAAGTAATAGATGTAGATTCTACTGAAGAAGTGAAAAACACAAGAAGGGGGGTTGAATTGTAAAACTTTGAATCAAATGCAGACAACACGTTGTTTTTATCCTGGTTCGTTTGATCTCAAACTACTCCAGTCCACCCGTCAAGGTGATTTCGCCTCTCTCCAACGAGGTCTTAATCCACTATATTCAACTGAATATTACAACTGCTTTAACAACTGCTAAAGCCTTCTTGAGTCAAACCACAAACCGGTTTCTCAAGGAAATACTTTCTTACAAAGAAATGAAATCTAAGTGTGTTGATTGTTTTCTACAAAACTGTTTATCACAACTGTGATATTACACAAATTAAGCTTATGAGAACTAGAATGCTAAACAATAGAATAGGTAATTTGAGAGCTTTTAGCAAACTGGGAATGAGGATGAATATGAATAGCTTTAGGCGTGTAGAGAGTTGTAGAGCATTAGCCAATTTGTTCCTCACTTGCTTGTTTATATAGCATTGGAAAATGGTACGTTGGAGTCACTTATTCCGTTTCAATGCCAATTACATTCTTTCCAAATTGAGAAGATCTTTGTCTGGAATGATGCCGTTGATAATAAAGAATCTTGAATGCACAGTACCGTTGGCAATTAAGCGTGTTCTGGTTTTGGCTTATTCTGACGCTGCTAGGTGCTGATGAATTGTTGTTGTCTTGATCAGAGTTTAGATTGTTACACGCAGATCTGTTCATCAAGCTTCAGCGTAAGCACACACTTTGATCTTC